CATTCCTATAGGACGCTACGGAAGCCGTGTCTATAACGCGGAAAGGATTTATTATTAACGTGATCCTCACACAACAATTACTATTAATACCCATTATTTATGTAAAGAATGCAGAAGCACATGTCATATGAATGCCTCCACGCAGATGTGTTGTGTACTTTCGAACATCCCCCCTTTATTAGAATAAATAAATATATACAGGTCGTCATTGTCTTAATCTCAAAATTGATTCCATCCATATGCAGCAACCAAATCAATATACTCCCTCATAAGGCACCGAGTAGTTTTTGCGATATGTTATGCGAAGAGCATAATATTTAACGTCTTAAGGGCAGATTTGTGTATCCTTCCCCAATCAGCAAATGCAATTGTCGTGCGAATTTGAACGCCTTCGTATTGTTCAACTGCTTAAGACACATTTCCCCTGTTACTCTTGCCGGGTGATAAAATTATGTGATGTTAAGAGTAACCTGTATGTTCATGTTGAGGAATCCGCAATGGTGTCTTTGTCAATGTCTACGTCAATGTTCATAATGCATATACGCCTATTGACAGGTGCCCCGTATAACCACATCTATTCTTGTCCATATTTGTCCGTGCAGTTCCTTCTTGCAGACTACGTCGGAAACACATCTCAGTGTAAAGAGGAAGGAATAGAAAAAAAAAAGGAAAAAAGGCAGCTTCCTATCTGTACAGATTCTGAGGTATACATACATAGCATCACAAGGAAAAATGTTCACCTCCTTTATATTATCAAACGGAACCGTCTTAAAGCATAATTTCTCTTATACTATCCCCACTTAATTGGAAGCCTCTATGTTGTTCAAAATTGCTGGTACATATTTTATCCACATTCACTATGCTAAAATTGAGTTCTCCGTAAATATAGGCTGTTTAACATGCTACACCTTACACGTTATACAATACCACAATTGGTGTACTAAAAACCAGGGACGATCCAACTAATAGGCTCCTGCATCAAAGGAATATAAACTGTCAGCTGAGTCCTGGAATATAATACAGGCTACATAGGACTATTTACACCATAAACCACATAATGTTACCGCCGCCCCCCCAGGGGGAAAATTCTATAATCGGACTCATCACTCCTCCTTTGGTCCTTCAAAGTGTCCACAAAAATAGATTCAGTTATGTAATGAAATAGTGAAGAACAATAAGAAATGACTCATTCACAGAATGCGAAAACCATAGTCGGGGACTCTAGCATTTTACTCAGTATTCCGTAGAGACTATATTTGCACGCATCTCCGCTGTCTGATCGTTCTTCTTCGATGAACTTTAATATTAGGTGTATATATAGTAACCGCCACATATAGATTGTAGTAAACGAAATATGGCATACTGTAAAGCGTTTCTATTCTTTTCCTTTTCTGGCATGTTTCATTACGTTATTCTCTCTAAAAATCTCTAAAAAAATTGAAATGGATGAAACATTTTTTTTCCGCAGCATGCCGCGCTTGTACACTTCATTGATTCTATTGCTCTCTTTACCATCCTGTTGTCATGTTGTACGATATATTATAAAAATTACGCAGTCACTTTTTCTTAGCCTGAGTTCCATAAGATAATTCCCCAAAATTATATATAAAAATTAATTTATGTTACATATTATTTCTGATTGGGGTCCTACATGTAATATCATATAGACCAGAGCGGTATATTTGGTGTTATTCACATAGTTCAGAGTACCCTGCGAACAGGGTACTTTTTCTTACTTCATAATATCTGAGCAGTGCATGAAATTTGTTCATAAAAAACAGACCCCCTATATGCTTCCAAGGAGGAGGCACTTTACGAACGAAAATAAATCCCAGAATATACGCCTTCTATTCAGTCCAATGACACGGTATGATATATGTTATACTTAATCTGTTCCAATTCTTTTTTTTTCCTCGCACACGCATGCCTTTCGTTGGGCATTATTAACAAGGCATAATTGCAAGTGTGTTTATTGTTATAGCGCGCAAAAATAGTTTCCAGAAATGCTTGAAGCAGTTGACGTTCACCAATAAACGAAAACTAATTAATCAGAAAAAACTGAACAGCGGAAGCAGGAAAGGACGGAGAATTTATAAATATCCTCCTTTATCCGAAAAGAACATGATTAACCCAGGGCTACGAAGCCGCCTTATATGCGGTATCTATATTTCATTTTTCGATTTTGTGCAGATTAAGATTCTATGTTAACCTTATCGATAAATGCATATGTGACGTTTGAAGCCCCAGAATTCTACCAGATGGCTTATCATGACAGGGCACGTACTGTATAATAATACAATGCTTTTTTCTCTTTTGCTTTTTGGCAGCTACTTCTCACTTTGAATGTACTCTTCTATAGAGAAGTAAGCGACAGGCTACGCCCTATTTCATGATCAAGCGACTGACTTTAATCGGCAGGTGGACCTCCTCCGCACAATTTATCAATATAACACGGATTTATAAACAATACCTATGTTCCTAAGTTGACTGTTATCATTTTATTGAAAAAGCACCCTTTCTTCTAACCTTAAAGACGCAGCTAGATAAAGTGTGGATTTTGCTGAAATAGTATTTTTCTGGCGTAGGACATATAATATGCATAGCCACACCATTATTTGATGTACTTCTTCATGACATTTCCGCAGTGTCCGAATTCTCTTTTTCATAAGACAATATGTATTTATTACATGATCTTCCAGAATATGCACACATCATCGCGGAACATATCAGGGATGACAATGTGATGTAAAACAAAAAGGTCAGTATAATACACAATGTAATATAGGCAGAATTATTAGTTCAGAATATTTACCTTTAACCGATATTATGGACGTAGCATTGGACACGGGAAACTCCATGCGAGATATATAAAACTAGATTTCCTACCCACCTGAATAATAGTAAGGGAGTGTGCAACGATAATAACAAACACATCAAACGTGTTCATTCAAACTATATGCTAGGTGATTTCACACACTACTTCATAAATGTTTTATCACAACTTTCCCCCCCCAGGAAAACCCAAGAGACATGTGTTATGTAAATATGTAGAGTTGTTTGCCCACTTATTTCACCATTACTACATGTTCTGGTTGTTCTTTGAGTCCTGACTATTTATACGAAACAATAAGGAAAGGTCTAATGAGAATCGTAGAACTGCTGTGCATACTGTGCGAACTGGAATGTGCACAGGTCTCTCACACTGGGAACTCCAATGCGAAAAATGTTGCATTCGAAATTCATTACTTTCCCTCAAGGGAACATAGTGCTTGCATACGCTAAATACTCTTATTCCGAATGAAAATCTTATACAAACACCAACTATTGATACATTTTCATCGAAATCAGACTCTACTACATGTACTTCCCCTGACAATATCTTTCAACGCCTAGGTTATTATTCAAGGCTTCCGTGAAATCTTGCCACTCCGAATGAGAGGACGTCACCCATGGAAAAATTGTCAGAGCACGTGGGAGGATTCTGAAATATTTAAGTGAACATCTGAAACGTGGTAGTTCCGTCACGAATCAAATTCGACGGCAGGTAGGAATGAATCAATATCAACTTCTACTGCAGTTTTCAGTGTTGAAAGGTTGAAAGCAATGACACCGGGTATACACACGGAAAATATAAATGTAAAATAAGTACAGATCCTGAAGGTATACTTACCGTCCGAATTATTCAATTTCTTGACATTTTACGTGCAGATTGGAGGCCTCCTACATCGGATCCCCCAGCCGCTGATATTACCCAACGGGTATCGCCCCCTTCCTCCCTTTCCTAATAGGTTCAATCTATTTTATCCACCAGCCTCTGTTCTTTACCTATCAGTTTATGCAAATCTGTCACAACCCCCCACAAATAAATTGCGCGGTGTGGGGAGTACATAATGTCCTTAAGTGCTACGGATACTCCCCCCTCCGTCCTTATGCTTACGACTTTTGGGACAAGGAACTGGCAATCCTAACGACATCTCACACGCGATGTAGCCCCAGAAACACTATATAATGATGCCATTTCCTTTATTGAGGTGTCATTTATTATCTTAACACTTGGGGGGCCCATTACAGATGTTACCTTTCTTATGGAAGTATAGATATATGTATATATATACACACGCAAAAAATATCATTTATTGCACTGTGGTCACTATTTAGAAGACGCCAGGGAAGCGGAACCAACTCCTCGTGCCAACTTTGTCCCCTAGAGCAATACACCCCCTTATAATCGTAGTTTCCCCTGAAACACAGAAAGCGCAAAGCCGGAAGAGGGGTACACATACGGACAGCAATGTTTTGCCATGACTGCCAAAAAAAGAAGGATATATGATAATGACCACGTACCATGCGCGACCTTGAATATGAGTTGTTAATATGTAATTAAGACATCCCAAAGAGGTATACATGCAAAATGAAAAACAAACGTTCCGTAGAAGATTCTAGATATACATACAGAACCTTTAGATGAATCAGAAAAGGAGAATGCAAATTGACCAAGGATAATTTCCTCCAAGCATCCCTGTAGACATTTATGATAAATGAGGGCGTCATAGGTGGAATTACCTGACGGAGGAACCTAATGGGAATAGATGCACACAACTATGGTGATCTGTAAATACCAAAACATTAGTGGCATAGTTTGCAACATAAATACTCCTACACTCTTGATATGTTCAAAAGGAACAATTAGTTCCACAGATTCCAGGGAGGACGCAGAACAGATTAACAGTGCGTTCAGGAAATTGTAATGTCTACAACCAGTCAAGTTAAAGGGGAACCAACTACTCCTTTGATGCAAAGGCGAAGGAGTGTATGTAGCAATTAGGTTTCAAAACAATACATACGTATGAAACAATATATTCCAGATAGTTCTTCTTAGAAAGTTATCAAGCTCTACCAGAAGGAAACAGCCGAGCATGTGATATATGAGACGACGAATAACACGTCAGGAACAAATTGCCATAAAGAGAGACAGGAGGTGCATAACCACGAATTGTGTGTAATTACAGATGAAGAAGTAGACATGGAAATGTCCATACCGCTCTTCATGATGCTTCTGCATGAATGCAAAGAGCAATAGGATTCAAAAGACGTGAAATGGTACCTGGGTGGCCACATAGGAAACTGTTTGAACGAGGAAAATATAGAAACATCCCCAAAAATAGCAGATACACACAGAATGTTCCTGAGGATGTCAAAAAAAAGAGGAAAGCACGCTGGGTAGAAAGCACAAAGATTTACAAGCCTCGTATAAGAGGAGACGAACGAACAATAATAGGAGAGCTCACACCAGCCTGATAATGACGTACCTGGAGCAGAACAGCTTCAGAGAGAAAACATAGCGCGCATACTTACATGTTATATTGCAATGGGATTCATATGAATGCCCTAACGTGAGATGACCTGAGACAAGTCTCATAATTACAGAGTACAGGAAGATGCGAACCAGCCGTACCGGGAAAACGAAGGGGACACGTACTTCTAGAGACATGGACACGAGGTATGTGAAATAGTTAACAAATGACGAAGATAATCAACCCTATTTTTGGGCAAAATTGCAATGCGGAACACATGTCAAAGGCAGGTCACCAGTTGCGACTCATCATCTGAGGAACATATCTGAAGCCCGCCAAATATTTTATCTATGATTCTATCCCCCATTCGTCCTGAATGTGGGGGTAGACAAATTTTCCGTAACATACAACGTAGAGGAGATGCCCAAATGGAGAATGTTGAATTTGCTATATGTAATAATCCTGCCAGAATGTTCCTGAGAATAGTCCATTCCTTTTTCCTCTTAAATACTCGTTATACGTAACAACCTAGACAAATACGGAAGAAGTCGAAAAACATTATTCTCCGTCTGTTTTATTTACTGATAAACATGGCATATCGCATTCTGTATTCTCCTGCACCTACTAAATTGGGCGACACTCTTCTATCGGACACACGGAAACGTGGAATTTATAGAAAATGCTTAACTCCACCCGGACGGTTCTGTACGAAACGGGGCACTACTCACTCAAAGCAACGCAGTAGAAAGCACACATTGATAAAATATCCTTAGAGAGAAAATCATACGCTAACAGTAAGGAACGAAAAAAAAACAAGCAAACATAACTACCACAACATTCTCAGAGTCTGGGTCCTCCACTATTTACATATGAGATCAATCTGCCGTAGAATTGTAATTACAAAACCGCTTATCATTCATTTATGAACGTAAATAGAAGTTATGCCATTTTTTTGCCATATCTATTGTTCCAATGAGAGAATAATTAATGTATGTGTTACTGATAGAATTGAGGGCCTCCCTAGTAGGATGGAAAAAGGAGGAACTTTCTGGTTATATCTCTGCGAAATGGGATTCATCAAATTTGACACGGAAGCGGAACATTTAGAAATATGTTATTTTAGGAACAGGCCTGTGTTTCCCTAAGTAGTGATCATCAGATAACCCATCAGAAAGGATACCACCGATTTTGTCAGCATCCCTGTTTCATCCTACCAGCATATATATATATATTATGGTAACCCCTGCATCATATCGAAAT